TCCATATCTATTAAATTAAAACACATAAGTCGTTCATCTTAATGTTTAAATACTCTTAAGTTCAAAACAATCTTACAACCCCCTTGTTACAATTTCATAAAAAAGATATTTTTTTACATGTGGATACAATCCTTACTATGTTATACCACAGTATTAATGCAAATATTGAATTTATTTTGGAGCACGCAATGACTTTAGTGTTTTAAACAAAAACTAAGATCCTGAAGGGCTATCTACCTGCGTATTAGCGTATACTGTTATGTAGGGAATATATTGTTATTTCACGAGTTTGCGAAAGTTATATTCCTAAAAGGGAAAAATAATTAAAATATCCCAAACTTTGAAGAGGTGTGGGATAAACACCCTAAACTTGCATATGTAATTTAAATACCTCAAACTTTATATAAAAAGTTATTTTAACATCATAGTCAAATATTATTTCTTTCAAAAATGTAAATGTATGGTGTTAATTGCGTAATTTAAAATATTTTAGAATTCATGAAGACACAATTAACATTCTAAACTTCCATTCCGGAATAAATATTGTTACCCCCAATCTATATAATTGCAACACTTTTAATTTGTTATTTTAAATTATACAATTAACCCTATAAATTTACATTTCTGAAAGAAATAATACATGACAATGGTGCGAAAATAACTTTTTATATAAAGTTTGAGCTATTTAAATTACATATTCAAGTTTGGGGTTTTTATCTCACACTCCTTCAAAGTTTGGGGTATTTTTATTATTTTTCCCTTCCTAAAAGGGTAAATTAGATATTTAAACTCATTTTTTATTTATTAATATTTAATTTGGGAGTTGTCTTTAGTAAAATAAGGATCGTGAATAGAATCTCCCTTTATATATCTAGTGTGTAGGCCCAATTTAGTTTATTCACCTTGTAGATTCAAAGTAGATTAATAGATTTAATGCATCAAACTCTTTCGTGATGTAAAAATTATGTGCATTAGCCATTGAAATCGGCCAACTCCATGTGTTATAATTAATCACACGTCTAATCCCCTTGAAGAACAATTTAATTGTCGGGTAAAAGAAAAGTGATTAGCATTTTAATACAATTTAGGGATCTACACAAATTTTATTGGATCCTCTATCATAATATTAGGATGCATGTTTTTCAAAAGACAAAATTTGTTGCTTGAGGGTATTATGCATGTGATTAGTTATAAGACACGGGATTTGATTTATTATTCTAATGAAGTGCTAATGTGCATAATTTATATAGGCCTTTTCTATCAATATTATTAAAATAAATAGAAAAGACAAAAATATGACCTATTCTAAATTTTCCCAAAAGTGACTAAATATTCATCTATTCCATTTACAATAGTATTTAATATTGCATTTATTATAGTAGTATTCCTTTTATGTAATTGATAAATTAGTCAATGTTCTATAGCGACCACAACAACTGAAACCGTCAGCGTCGTCGCCGCCACCAATATTGCCGCTCAATGATCATCGCCACCCAACACCAGTCACTAACCCAGTAACTTCCACCCAACTCCAACACTAACCCAATGACTTCCCGCAACACCAGTCACACTGACCTACCCCACCCAGTGGCGGATTTGGACTATAAATTTTGGATGTTCAATACTTTTTTATAAGTAGACATTTAAAGAGTAGTATATAAATATAATAATATTAACACATATATACCTAAAAAAAATTTAAAAAATGGTTGTTCATGTGAAATACTTTGAACAAGAGTGGCTCCGCCACTGACCCCGTCCACTAAAATTGCCGCCCTGCCAGCGGCGGTGATAGCCATTATATTTACTTGTGTTTAACATAAATATTTATAAGTATTTGTTGAAGAAAAGAAGAGAAATCGGGTAAATACCTCCAGAATGAGAGCTTGATCATAAAACATTGCGATGAACGACTTTTTGGACCAAGAGAATGACGTTCTGCCCATAATTTGAGTATAACGTATTCTATAGAGCTCGAAATCACTCGATTCGAGTTTCATGTGAATTCTAACTCAATAAGGTACAAATGTTATGAAGACGTCATGACCAAAATATGAAAGGAACAAGACTCAATCAACCAACAAAGTCAGATGTTGCTGGTGGGATTTCAGGATGCATACCTCTCAGTGTTTTATCTATATCTCTTGATTGGCTGAATAAAATCATGTCATTCAAGTTTTGTTGGATAGAAGACTTCATTATCTACAACTTTAGTGAAGGAATCATGTCCAAATTGGTAGCGGAACATCCCCAAAATCCCAGGACAAAACCGGCACCGGAATTTGCACCAAACCGGCGCCCGTTTGTTGATTTTCACATGTACACAAACCAGTAGCTTACCCGGCGCCGGGTAGACCTTATACCCGGCGCCGGGTAGGCCAAAATTTCAGATTTCCCTGCGCACAATGAAGAACCGGCGCCGGGTAGGCCTGAACCCGGCGCCGGGTAGGTCTGATCCTGCAAATACAAAAGAACGTGCTGAAATATTTTGATGGAAAAAAACTCACCTTCCTCATGAGCTAATCAAATATATCTTCCGTGCTTGATTGTTGGGCTCGAATAGACTAAAAGATGTCAATCTTTAGCCTATATAAAGCCCCCAATTCATCAAACAAGATCATCAATCCATCCTTGAAGCTTAAATTTCAGTTTTTATATTTTATTTTTGCATTCTCTTGAAGTGTTGGAGAAGAAGCCATTTCTCTCCTGTACAATTGGTTCTAGGTATTATTTCTTGTATGTTATTGTATTTCCTTTATCTTAGTTACACTTTTGTAATTAATATGAGCATTAGAGGCTAAGTTCTTAGCTAAGGCTAGGGATGAACTTCTATGCCCACTAGGTGTTTGATAAAAGTTCTAAACCAATAAATTGTGATTTATCCTTTACATTTTGATTGTTTATGACTATGGTGTACAACATAGAAGTATGTTAAACTTAGTTTATGCTTGCAATTAACGTTGAGGTCTAAACTATGAACATTAAAGGATAAACATATATATTACCGAGAATAGAAATATATCCGGTATTATATGATACGGGTGTGATGTCTTGATATTCAACGGGGTTTTCGGTAGATGAATGTAAGCCGTAACGGGACTTACACGTAACGAAAACCACGCTCTCGCTGCCTTAACCAGAGTTGAGAATATATTAGCGACATCGTATTCATAATTATTGGTAAAGAACTAATATTCAATCCTATTAAAGCATTTAAGTGATTCCCGAAGCCTTAGTTGTTGTTATCAATCACTTTAATCAAATTAATTCAAGTTATATCTCTGAAAATTAAAAAGAAGAACCAAGTTGTTGTTTTCACAACACACAACTCAAAATCCCTGCACTTTACTCATTTACTTGTTCAAAGTCATCTACTCGCGGACTAAATTAAACAACGTTTCCCTGTGGATTCGACCCGGTATTTTACCGGAATTTATTACTATATCAGCACTTGTACACTTGCAAGTTCAGCCCGGTCAGGCGGTGATACCATCACTGTCCAACAGCCACCCCAAACCCCATTCCCATCACTGGCACACTGACACGCATCTCCGGCCACAGTGACACTCCGTCTCCAGCCACAGAGACACACCGTCTCCGGCCACAGTGATGTGCCGACTTCGGCACAATCACCAGACCTCAGCCCCATCCCTAACCCTAGTTTCAAAACTGGCGCCGTTTGTGGGAACTAATCCAACACTAAATAGTAAATATAAATATAAATGTATATGAACTCTATGTTTTAACGTAGAAACCCGAAAGGGAGAAAACCAATAGATTTTTGGGCTAATGTCCAAGCCACTCTCTTTTTATTAGTCTCTCATCACCATTGTTACATGTACAAAGCTTCAATTAATGAAGTTATTGAGCTATTCTAGAGAGAGGGTGTATAGAAGGAGAAGAGAAGATAAAAAGTAGAACAATAAGAGTAATTGATTGTTTTTGAAGGAAAAACTTTCAAAAAGAAAAAGTGTAACAAACTTTTAAATACATCCAAAAAATAAAAGTGTAGCAAACTTTAAAATACGGAAAGAGAATGATTTTTATATACCACTTTTGTATTTATTTTTAGTAAATAGTGTTTTCTCTTCCATTAAATTTATAAGTACGATATCATAATATTTTTCCCCTCAAATGTTTTGTTATTTATAAATAATTTTACATCCAATTTTTTATGTGATATCATAGATTGGTTCACATTAGACAACCCCAAAATCTTTTGAAAATAAAGCTTGAATTGAATTGAATGAATAAATAACTTTACAATAATTTTTCTTAATATGGTCATTACTTGTGAGTGGTGACATATGTGAGATAATATTCAATGTGAAATCACCCCCACGTATGAATAATTCCTGGATACGCCACTACGTGGCCTAGGCAACTTGGCAAAGTACTTGAAATTTTCGGGAGCAAAACCAACAAGGCGACATTTCGGACTTATTACAAAGCTCACTGAGAAGAAAATAGAACTTCCAAAGGACAAGTACTAAAGTACACATTTACGATACATGCAGTATTGATGGAGAGAGAAATCATGTCAGGCCGGCCTAACCGGGAGAGCCGTCCCACCGAGCCCTGGCGACCTTCCCGGTAGAATTTTTTGATGAAATTTTTTGAGCATGTTCCTCATCAAGTCTAGTTTGTCCATACCAAATTTCAGCTCAAAATTCGATCGGGAAGGCATTCAAATCGTTTTTTGAAGTTGACTGCAGTTTTATATGTATATTTTGACGCAGTCAACTTCCAAAAATGATTTGAATGCCTTCCCGATCGAATTTTGAGCTGAAATTTGGTATGAACAAACTAGACTTGATGAGGAACATGTTCAAAAATTTTCATCAAAAAATTCCACCGGGAAGGTGCCCAAACGGGCTCGGCCGGACGGAGCAGCCCGTCAGGCCGGCCTGATGAGAAGAGCTCTCTTGATGGAGATTAGAGAATATAAGAAAATACTGCCTATGATGTTAATTCAAAGGCCAAGGCAGATGTGTTTTTTTGGGAGAAACAGGCTTACATTGATAACACATCATCCAGATAGTAGGTAATCCGACAAAATGAATCCTGACAACCGCCGTCCCTCGAGTCAGATTCAGAATTAATCACCTCAACAAAAGCAATGTAACTCGTTGAACTCTTTACAGGCACAACTAAGCCAAAGGCGGTTACCCCATTCCTTTCAGAGTCTTACAGCAAATAAAAAGGATCAAACAGAGAGTACAACACCTAAAATTATCACGAAAAATAAAAATAAAACACAAAGCATAAAAATTCCGTCCCAGCATCATAATTAGCAGCACCTCCCACGACCTGCTCTTCAAACCTGACTTAACCAATATAGGCGGGCTTACAGAGCGAAGCCCGCCCCCCTCCCCGTTTTTTTTTACTGTCCAAAGTCATGCTCTCCCTCACGCGTTTGTCCTATAGGGCTTCCCAAATGCGCCTTCTTTTCTGTTCACCTAATGCCTCCTCATCTGTCTCACCCACCGCTCCCTTAGTAGTGCTCTGCGCTGTTTCTGATATGGATTCCTTCCCGCCTCCACCCGTTTTGCCATCTGAATTGTTATCTTCCCTGCCTCTGCGGTCTTTACTAGAGCTAGAAGACCCATCCACTAGCCATTTATTGCCTCCCATTAGACTAGTCTTCACTCTTCACCCGCTACCTGCTCTAAGATGGACTCCAAAATTCTTTTCAAGAATCAGATCTTCCTCACACGTTAGGGGACATAATTTATATAAAGAAATAATTACATAAACATAATCAAAATAAAGATGATTTACAAAAATATGATTCATTACTAGAGTAGTAATGAAATCATAGTAATTCATGTTCAAGTTTTGAACTTTAGTTACCACAGCACTACGTTGTAGTAATGAATAGTCATATTTATGTAAATAAGTTTTATTTTAGTAATATTCTCGTAAAAAACCCTTATATAAATGCCCTATCAAACCGCATATGAAACAGAAATTGGGCAACTTTTCATACTTAAAGTCTACCTAGTAACTCCTCCCATCTTTCTTCAAACTTGTGCCCCTTTCAACGGCTTTTCCACATGCATACAAACTCTCACTCTCATATAAGATCTCCACTTCTCACTATACCGATTATCATCATACTTGATAAATTTTCCAATGTGATTACCCACCCTCCTTGCAGTCCCTAAATTCACCAAACTATACGGCACATTGTGAACTTGGACCTAGAATTCAGCCTCATTTAAACATATTTTATGTGGTAAATCAACAGATTACGTTCAAATTGCTAAGGCCCCCCGTCTAACACACGTTTCATATCAATGCGATGATGAAAAGTAAATAGATACATCTTTTCACCTACTTCTTTGATTGAGATACTCTTCCCCGACCTCCACAAAGAAACCATGAGCTCCTTGAACGCTGGAAATTTGACCTTCCTATATGTTAATAGCAACCCCACCACCGGAAAACCTGGCTTGGATTCCTCGACCAGAGAATCCTCAATCGCAGTATCGTCTAGATCGAGTTCTTCTTCCTCCGCACCGATTGCCATCTTTTTATATTGATCAACAATGTTCTCCATAAACTCTTCACCTTACCAGCCAATTGGGAACTCCGATACCCTCGCTTTCAAAAAATTCGTTCACGGTGTTGCTGCGAAAAATCCGACGAGGCCACCCCCGAAGCCTCTGCTACCCAATTCTTCCTCTGTTAAACCTGAACGGTCCTCGGATAAACCGACAAGGTCGTCTTCTGCCACCCTCCGCACTGATCCGAAATACCCGATTGACCGGCCGAAGCCGACAACCCTGCTCCTCGGGTTAACCGATAGCGGACACTCCAAGGCTAAAGATCGCCTTGCGGCAACCCTAGAGAGGGACTTTTTTTCGCAGATGTGTTGTTTAAGGCAAAATCAATCCCACACTTCATATGAAATTCAAAAATTGCACGAAACAATTCATGAAACATAAGAGATTAATTGCCATACAACCATATCATTTATAGTAGACAAGCTGCCACAAAATCAGGAAAAGACAGCCCGTTGATAGAACCCATCTTGCAATTCAACATTAATTCCTTCTATAAGGATTTTGTTACACAAGAATATATGAACATATCTTTCCATGCGGGGCAAATGCTTTATAAACACTTGGCTTTCCTCAACTGAGTAAACCTTTGAGAATCAATCTTGTCAGACACCCAACATCAAACTAAACCGAAACTTAACTTAGAAGACACCATTTCCACTTTGATGTGAAACAATCTGTCAATCTGATATGGACTCTGATCAAAGTATTTCCTCAACATGACTACTTAATGCCATTTTTTGCTGAACTCTTCAGCAGAAACCAACTGCTTTCTTCACAACAGGTCCCATAGTTGTGCAAGTCCAATAACTGAAGACTATGTATTGTAGCCATTGGTAAGCACTTGAGAAAATGGTCATCAGTCCTTCAGTAGGCTCTTTGCAGTGCATCTCCTCTGCAGGCAATCAATATGGGGAAGAGCACTGCTGTGCAACTAAAACCTCCTTAAGAGAGAGAATATCATCACGAGGATGAGCTTTTTCAACTTGAACTTCTAGTTCATCCCCTATCTGTTTACCAATAGACACCCAAACATTAGCTTCTATTCCTACCTGCAAAGAATATACCATCATTAGTCTGCATGTTAATCACTGTAGCGTCCATCTCCAAAAAAGACTTTCAAAGGTCAGATTTAGATATCTGGAGGGAATTTGCACCTAACAGCTCTTTTACTTTCAGCATACAAAAAAAAGTTGTCCTAAATATCTTAACATCGAGTATCCTGAAGAACACAATGGAATCCATAAACACCATCTTGCGAGAAAAGTACTGGACATGGGGAGGGGGGAGGGGGGAGGGAGGGGTAGTAAAACAGGTTAAGCCTAGGATGCCATCAGGGCAGGGATTAAGTGCTCAATTGCCAACATTCATGACACTTGTCACACAAGTGGTATTAGTAGTAGGCAGTTGATCATTTTTTATTTTTGAGCGAATCAAATGTATTACCTCCAACAAGAGTACTGATGCATTCCTATCTTTGATGAATTTGAGGATAACAGCACAAAATTTCACATCTTTTGATTGCCTTCTCAGGTACTCCAATACCCAATAACGAAGACTGCTACTGCAGAGCCTCCTTACAACTCTAGTTGTCATGTTAATCGTAGATGCCATCCCTTCAAGCTCCCCTGGCGAGAAGGGAAGAGGATCACCTCTAATGAATGCTTTCACCTATAAATGTAAAATCAACTCAAATCTACACACATCTTACAGCAGTAGTTCAACCACAGGTTTAGACACTTGCAAATCACATCTAACGGTCAGAGTAATTATTTAACCCCCAAAATTAAGCTTGGATCAGTTAAATGAAATTTGAGGTTTTTCTCTAAATATTACTAAATTGAAGTCAATTATTAAATAGTGATGCATTTATCTAGAATATTCTATGTAGAAAAGGCTAGAGATGTTCTAGAGAACTATAGCTACAAGTATTCTAGAGAATTCTCCACTAGAGAATTCTTAGGTAAAATCTAGAGTAATTAGTCATAGTTGTAGAATACTCTAGAATCATAGCATTTAATAAGAATCTAGAATGATCCTCTAGCTCCTATAAATAGGACTCATTGTACTCATTTGCTAACCAAGCAAACCCAAGCAATATCAATACAATACTTCTTTTCTAGAGACAAGAGCTTTAGAGCTCTACTCTAAAACACCTCCTCTACACTACACCTCACTAAAATCACTTCTAACATCAATATCCTAAAATATCACTGCACAATTTTAATGTCACTGCATTTTTTATGTCACTAAGAGTTGGTCACTGTCAGATTTTTATGTCACTTACGGATGTCACTATGGCCGCCAAACTTGTTATGTTAACACTACCGATGCGCGCAAAAATATGACTGCAAAAGGTTTACACCGGATACCATGCACTTCCAGTCACAACCTTCTAAAGAAGGAATAATGAGATGAACTTGCACAACTTTCATCATCATAAGTTGTTTCCAATTGAAAGGGAAATTTAATGAGTATGAGACAACAACGAGTTCAGATGGTTAAAGTCAAACCCCATTGCATCTTGATATTGTGAAATCAACTGAATATGGGAAAAAACTCAAAAAAACACTCCTTATCGAAGAAAAAACTCTAACATGTAAGATCACATAAAGACCAAGAAATTCCAGTATATTCCCAAACGTACATCAAACACATATCAAGCACAAAAAAGTGCAGTTTAAGTTCGCAGTACTGTGTTTTAATGTAAAAGCAATCAAAGCAAGCTTCAAATAAAGCTATGTGAAATGCAATGAGATTCATTGTCATAAAGCAGCACAAAGTCACCTGATAATGAGCCAAAAGATCGATGTATCTACGTATAGGCGATGTGAATTGGACATATCCGGGAATTCCCAATGCCCCGTGACGTATTGGCTTCCTGAAGTCCATTTGAGCTGCATGCATGATTCGAACAATAGCAGAACTTCTAACAGGCCCTTCAGGAAGATGTGCAAATGCAGATGTATCAATATTTGATTGTGGGTGTCCTCTATAGGGCAACGGTATCATATTGTAGGAACCATACATGGCAATAACCTCTCCGCAAAGTATCATCATCTCAGAAACAAGTCGCATAGCTGGGTCACTTTGATTGCTAACATAAATCTTCATTGAAGGCTCTGGATCATTAGGATTCGTCACCTTAATTCTTGTTTGTAAGGTACATGTATCTATTGCACCCTGTAAAACCATTACTGTTATATCCAGTTTCATGGAGAGCAACAATAACTAAGATAACTTAACAGCCCTACTTCCCTAAGAGAAAAACATGGGTCATGAATTGATGCTAGTTATTGATTTTTATCAACTAAAATAGCATGAGCTTTCCCACAAATTCAATAAAGAGCTAAACTTATATGAGACCTTCTGTCATAATGAACTTTATTATATTTAATTTAGTACAACATTTTAATTCCATAAAAATGCATGCACCCTCTAAAAACTGCAGGCAAACGCTATCAAGTCGAAAATCAAACGCGAATCGGGAGACACGGTTTCCAAGTCGTGAATCATATCTAATTTAAAAATCATGTGAAGGGCACATGTGAGTTAATATGCTACACTGCCTGGTGAAATTTTGGCTCGTGAATCACAGTGCAACGATAAGCACATAGGATAGGAAGAAGTAGTTTGGTAAAATGGTGATTGAATTTCAGTTGGTGAAGTCCATGAACAGTGAAGCTACACTGAACAAATTTGCCAAGTCCACGAAATTGAATGTTTACGATAGTAAGGGGTATTCAGATACTTTAACCATATAATCATTTATGTAGAAAATGTTATATTAATTGTTAATTATTAGATGTAGTACATATGTAGCCGTGTAGATAAGTATTAGAGTTATTAGCCTTCATTAATTATTAGATAAGCTTTGTAGTTAGCTAGATTCTATTTTATAGGATCTCCACAGCAAGGTTGTTACTTGTACATTGTATATATATTCTGGCCGGATGGCTCAATGAAAATTTATTCCCAAAACCTACATGGTATCACAGCTCTCGGTTTAACATCACAATGGTGGAAACCAGGCCTGCATCATCATCTTCTTCCCAGACCAGTAGCCCTAATTCCCAAATTAGCTCGATGACAAATTATCAGTCTTCTATTCATTCATCTATGCTTATAACTAGTCATAGGCTGAGTGGAAAGAATTATCTGGAGTGGCCTTGGTCTGTCAAATTAGCAATAGATGGAAGGGAAAAGCTGGGATATCTAACTAGTGAAATCAAAGAAAAACTCAGTGGCGATGATGGCTACGGCTGGAGTCAGAAAACTCTTTAGTTACAGCCTGGCTTCTCAGTTCCACGGATGCATCAATTGCTAAACCCCACATGTTCATGAAGACAACAAAGGAGGTGTGGGGATTCCATCGGCGAAACATATTCAGATCTTGAAAACTCCTCTCAGATCTTTGAATTGAAGACCATTCTCTCGAAGCCCAAACAAGGAGATAGAGATGTCACCACTTATTACAATGAGATGGTGGCTCTATGGCAATAATTGGATCAATATCATGATGATGAATGAGAAAGTGCCAAGTGCCAAGGATCTGGCTAGGCACAAGAAAAAAGGAGAGGTGAGTCTATATGTTTTTAGCAGGAGTCAATCGAAGTCTGGATCTGAAGGGAAGGATTCTGGGAAAGAAGCATCTACCCTCAATCAGAGAAGTATTCTCTGAAATGGAAGAAAGAAGGAAAAAGAACATGAATAACAATCCAAGACTTAATGATGACAAAGGAGACTCCTCAGCATTGGTGATCAAGGGAGATGAGAGGAAGAAGCCATGGTGTGATCATTGCAAGAAGTTGTGGCATACAAGAGAAACTTGTTGGAAGATTCATAGGAAGCCACCAAGAGCACGAAAAAGAAATTTGAGAAAGCTCCCAATACTACTGTGACTGAAACTCAACAAGAGTAACAAGTCAATTCCAAACAGCTTCCTTTCACAAAGGAAAGGATAGAGCAACTTCTACAATTTCTAGCCACCAAAAAACCTTCCAACCAGGAAACCCCCTCTTGTTCTTTTGCCCAAAAGGGTAAAATTGCATCATATTTCTGTTCTGAAAAATAAAAAAACACCTGGGTCATTGACTCAGGTGCAACACACCACATGACTTCTATTTCAAAATTCTATTTCTCATATAAACCATGTGCAAGAGATAAGAAAGTAAAAGTTGCAGATGGCTCTCTATCAGCCATTGCAGGGATAAGAAATGTCAAGATTTCCTCATCCGTTAACTTTTTAAAAGTCATACATGTTCCAAATCTTTCTTGTAACCTTGCCTCTGTTAACAAGTTGACCAAAGATCTTCAGTGTTGTGTTAAATTTTATCCTTCTTATTGCATTTTTAAGGACCTGGCATCGGGGAACATGATTGACAGTGCTAGAGAGGAAGATGGACTCTATATCTTTGATGAAGGGACTGAATTAAATAAAAGAGGTCATGGAAATTTGTCTGCAAACTATTTCTTTTTCTAGTAATAATGAAGATTAATGCACTAGAAGTCTATTTAATGCACTATAGATTAGGACATCCTAGTTTTTATTATTTAAAAAAGTTGTTTGCTCAATTATTTTATAATAAAGACCCTTCATTGTTTCATTGTGATATGTGTGCACTTGCAAAACATCATAAGAATTCTTGTATCCCTCATCTTGGTTTTAAAAGGCGTGAGGCGGCTTGAGGCGATTTCATTGACTTACCCGAGGCGCAAGGCGATGAGGCGCTCGCCTCACGGTTCTCAGCCACATTTCTTTGGTGAAATATTTTTTTAGTACTTCTACATGAAGCACTCTTCTAAAAAATACTTCAAACTATTAAAGAATCTTAATAAACATCATAAGAGAAACTAATATTTATTAAAGACGATAACACAGAAGCAAGAAATATATTTAAAGGCATAATTGCCAAAAGTCAAGTCACAAAACTCAATGTTAAAACTTCAAAACATAATTAAAAAGCAAAGTAGCAAGCTCGCAAGCACAATTGTGAAATCTAGGCCTAGAATTCATCACTGTCATCATCCCCATTTTCGAGAGTAGCAAGCTCAACATCGTCATTTCCTTCATCATCTGTTACTCCCAAGTCTTCCTCCCAAGTTTCTTCAACAATCCTCTTGCCTTTGTCATTGTTTGATGTGCTAGCTCCATCATTCCTAGTTGCTGACCTAGTGACGTAACTAGGTTCATATGCTCCAGCAGCTCTAGCAACTGCCCCCCAAGTCAAAGTGTCATCTTCAAACACATAATCATCGTCTTCATCATCATTCTCCATTCTTCCGAGCAACCACTCATTACTTTCATCAATCTCTTCTAACAGAATGGGATCAATGGTGTCTTTCCTCTCATACCGTTTTTTCAAAGCACGGTTATATTTAACAAAAACTAAGTCATTTAAACGACTTTGCGCCAATCGATTTCTCTTCTTAGTATGAAGCTGTCAAAATGAAATTATGTAAATATTTGAAATTTAAAATCTATGAAAATCAACATGTTTAATTTGCGGATTACAACTTACATGCTGAAAAACACCCCAATTTCTTTCACAACCAGTAGCACTGCAAGTAAGGCTAAGGACTCGAATGGCGAACTTCTTCAAAGTAGGAGTAGATGATCCAAAGGAATTCCACCAATCCGCTGGTGTTTGAGTTTCAAGAGTTTAAAAAAAATAGTTAATTGAAAATCATTTGAATTTATAAACATAAAATTATAATTTGTTATAGAAAGATTTGTAAGTTCTAAAAGTACCAGGAGATTTAATTTTTCTCTGCCTTATGGCTGCCGGAATGCCAAATAAGCCTTGGGCATTCGAATATGCATCCAACTCCTTGATGACTTTATCTTGGTCTTCAACATCAGCAACCAATCTAGCAATACAAGCGTACAAGCCATTCATCACCTCTTCATCATTCGTTATGCGTTCAGAATCATTATAGAAGAGTTCCGGGTTCAAGTAATGACCCGCAGCATGCAACGGCCGATGCAACTGACATTGCCACCTCTCATCAATTATTTCAAATGTTTTCTTATAAAGGTCTTCTTTTTCTCCAAAAGATTTTGCAATGGTCTCCTTAGCCCTATCCATGGCTTCATATATGTATCCCATGGCCGGCTTTCTTTCTCCATCAACGATCCTCAACACTTTCACAAGTGGCCCCGCCAACTTCAAAGCATATACAACACCTTTCCAGAAATGACGCAACTTTCTTTCCAGCTGCTTCTTTAGACCATTTGCTTGATCACCAGTCTTCTGAGGTCACCAACTTCCTCAAATTGTTCTTCTGTTTGTGATACTGAGAGAGAGTGATAAAAGATGTAGCAAATCTCGTGATGCCAGGCCTATGCAAATTCCTTTGGCCCGTGAATCTCCTCATCATATTCACAAGAGGAACATAGGAATAAATAAAACCATTCATAAAAATTGCCTTCTTCAAAATATTGTGAACTTTGGGAATCTTCCCAATGTCCTCTAACATAAGGTCAATGCAATGCGCAGCGCAAGGAGTCCAATAAAGGTGTGGGCGTTTCGCTTCTAGCAATTTTCCTACGAAAGTTTTATAACACAATTAACAATTTAGCTTTTTGTTAAAAATATTGAAAAAACATTTGTAAAAAAGTAAAATTGATATGACTTACCCGCTTTCACATAAGCGGATGCATTGTCAGTTACAACTTGGACTACATTCTGTTCACCAACTTCTTCAATCATTTCGTCAAGAATATTAAACATAAGATTTGCATCTTTTGAAACTTCTGAAACATCCATGGACTTGATGAACACCGAACCCTTTGGAGAATTAATTAAAAAATTAATAATCTCCTTTTGGGCAACGTTATCACGCCACCCATCAGATAACAACGAGCAACCTTTTAATGCCCATTCCTTCTTGTGCTCGTCCAGCATTGTTTGGGTATCCTCCACTTTCTTTCTAAGTAATGGAACTCTTAACTCGTACATGCTAGGCGGTTTCAATCCAGGACCAAATTGCCCAATCGATTCAATCATAATTTTATAGCTATCATAATTCGCAGCATGAAATGGAATAGCTGCATAAAAAAACCACCTAGATATGTCTCCACATACTTTAGCCCTTAATTCCTTTTTACAAATTTCATTGATTGTTTGTTGTTTCCCGCCTTTCTTTTTTTTTTTGAGAACATCTTCGGGGTTAGGTCTAAAGTAAACATCAATTGGACCCTTTTGTCTTGGTCTTTTGGAAGATGACAATTTATTTGTGAGATCCACACAATCTTCTTCCTCATCACCATCATACTCATCAAATTGGGCCATTTTTGGGAGCAAGTCGTTTTCTTCCTTGGAAGCTTGTTTTTTCAACATATATGCCTTAATTTCTTCCCGAACATGTTCGGGACATTTAGGGCATTTGATAACATTCCTAAACCCCCCAACAAGATGTTGTTTTAAACGAAAAACCCCTCCCTTAGTTACTTTCAAACAGAAATTGCAAGTGAAATTGTTCCTATTGGTAGGATCCGGTATCCCATATTTTCTAGCAAGGTCTCTAGATTCGGAACAACCCGCGGAAGAATTTGAATTTGAGTCCATTGAATCCCTAACAAATATATGTTATTGAAAGAAATAATCACAAACTTTGAGTTCCTATGCATTGTGGACTGTTGAAGTAATACAGTAAGATATGACTACTAAAACAATGCAAGTAATCAATGTAAAATATACTGTTATATCCAAACTACAACAGTATTAACAAATACTCAGTTTACTGTTGAGGTAATACAGTAAGAACTAACAAATACTCCCTCCGTCCCGTTGGAATGTTCCCACTTTCCTTTTTTGGATGTCCCAATGGAAAGTTCTCATTTCCCTAAATGGAAAGTTATCCTACATCAAAACAGTGTCAAACAGTGCAAAACAGTGTCAAACAGTACCAAACAGTGTCAAACAGTGTCCAAACAGTAAAATTTACCCCCTGGTAAGTTTATTTCCTTAATATGTGTGTAGGTCAAACCGGGAACATTCCAACGGGACGGAGGGAGTACTCAGTTTTAATACAGTAAGAAGTTAAGAACTTGGTAAACAGTTTAAACAGATACTCAGTTCAAATACAGTAATACTTAGTAAACAGTTTAAACAGATACTCGGTTTAAATACAGTAAGAACTAAGAACTTAGTAACAGATACTCAGTTTAAAACTTAAAATACAGTAAGAAATTAGTAACATATACTGAGTTTTAATACAATAAGAACTTAGTATTACAGTGAGAACTTAGTAATACTCGGTTTGGTAAACAGTTTGATTCCAGTGTAATACAGTAAGAACTGAGTGTATCTGTTGTAGTAATATATAGTCTGATTCCAAACTGAGTATCTGTTAATAGTAATTTAAATAATTAATGTAATAAACTGTTATATAAAAAAATTCTTAAAACTACAATATAGTCTGATTCCAAATTGTATATTGTTCAAGCTTATTAATGAACACTGCTTGTGTTCAAAAGTCTGATTCCCTGCCAGTATATAACATGCTTGAATATACCAGTGTAAAACAATATATAATTGTTAAAAAATTGTTAATAAACCAGTGTTCTAACACTACAATATATACTATATACTTATATAGTGTTTGATATTATCATTGGCATGTAATATGTAATAAACTAATAAACTACAGTATAAAATAATACATATTAATTAATAAACTATCACACAAATTCAATTCTGTAAAATTAATTACAGACAGATTTGTAAATATAAATAATTTAAATAATTTTATAAATATAAAACTTAAAATACTTAAAAAACTTAACTTTTTTCAGTTATCTATCAAAACTTATAAATAGTGAAAGATAATACTACGTATATATCAGTTATCTAACTTTTTATTTAAATAATATTAATATTTAAATAAATATAACAACTTAAAATAAAAGAGAATAAATAGCAGAAGACCAAAAAAAAAAGTAAAGAGGCTTACCTCTGCGACGCGAGATACCAGCTAAAGAAAAGTCGGAAGACTCAAACGCGAGATATAGCGGATGCAGGGAACCAAACGCAGAAGGCAGAAAGGAAGGAGAAGACTAGAGAGACTTGGAGTGAGGAGTGAGGACCTTACCTTATCAATTTATAATACCACGGTTACCACCTACGAATTTTCTGGAAGGAGATCTGAATCGCCAAAACAATTGGAATGGGAATCGGCAGAGACACTTCCATTAGGCGCGGAAAGCGCTCGCCTCTCAGTAGCGCAAAAGGCGCTAAAAAGCGTAAAACGCGCTCGCCTCTGAGAACCTAAGCCGCCTGGGTATGTAGAATGCGATGAACCAATCGCCTATATGCGCCTAGCGCCTTTGCGCGCCTCAGGCGTGCTTTTTTAAACCAAGTCCCTCATAAATACAAACCTATTAGTCTTTTACTCTTGTGCATAGTGGTATTTGGGGTGCATCTAGAGTATCTACCATGAAAGGAAAGAGATGGATTGTAACAATTATAGATGATCATGCACGGGTGACATGGGTATTTTTGATTAAAGAAAAATCTGAAGTTGAAAGTGTGTTTAGAATATATTATTCAATGGTCCAAACTCAATTCAATATCAACATCAAAATGGTAAGAAGTGATAATGGTTGTGATTATTTTTCTAAAAACTTAAACAATTTTTTTGTTGAAAAAGGGACTGTTCATCAAAGTTCTTGCATAAATACACCTGCTCAAAATGGAATAGTTGGTAGGAAAAATACACATTCACCTAAAGTCACTCGTGCAATCATGTTTTCAACCAAAGTTCCAAAATATCTGTGGGGAGATGATGTTTTACAGGCCACCTATTTAATCATTAGAATGCCATCAAAGACTCTAGGATTTAAAACTCCTATTGATACTCTTCAAACATGCTTTCCTAAAACCAGGCTAATCAACTCTCTTCCTTCGAAAATTTTGGTTCCACTGTATTTATTAAAAATCCCGACAAAAAAGCAAGCAAATTTGATCCTAGAGGTACAAAATGTGTTTTTAGGACTTTCTTCAACACAACATCATCATCATTACCCAGTGCCGCAAAGGCTCCCACCTAAGGTGGGGTAGGGGGGTTGGATGTACGCAATCTTACCCCTGTACTAAAGCACAGAGAGACAGTTTCCGGATGACCCATAGTGAAAATCGCGTCGAAAAATGCATGGACTGACTGCTGCTTCATAGTAAAGAAGCACAGACAGCTTAGTGAGCCATTTTGCTTTATTCCATCATATTCCTAAGCAAAAAAATAGTGAGTCTTTGGCTCCATTGCAACTGCTCATGATTCTGACTCAATGGTATCAAGTGAAAAGGGTAATAATTTCAGTGACCTTGACTTACCAATAGCTCTCAAAAAGAGAAAAGATCGTGTGCCAAATATCCTATCTCAAACTATGTGTCTTATTCCCAGTTGTCCTCATCATTTGCAACCTTTACTTCTAATATTTTCTGTATTGATATTCCCTTAACAATACAGGAAGCTCTATCTAAACTTGAGTGGAAGAAAGCTGCTTTGGAAGAGATGGATGCGCTTGAAAGAAATCAGACATACAAGATTGTAGAGTTATCCAAGAACAAACCAACAGTTGGATGTAGATGGGTTTCTACCTATGAAGTTGTTTGGCATCTGTGAACTTCTTTGGATCAACAGAGTAATCTCAGAACTGAAAATGGAGATGGATCTACCTATGAAGTTGTATTGTGATAACAAAGCAGCCATTAGCATTGCTCATAATCATGGACTACATGATCGTACTAAACGTATTGAAGTGGACAGACACTTCATTAAAGAAAAGATTGAATATAGAGATGTGTGCACACCATTCATATCTACCAAAGACAACATCTGATATCTTCATCAAAGGATTGTTTACACCAATGTTTGAGCTACATATAAGCAAGTTGGGGATGTATGATATATTCACCAACTGGAGGAGGGGTGTACAAAATGTTATATTGATTGTTAATTATTAGATGTGGTACATATGTAGCCGTGTAGATAAGTATTAGAGTTATTAGCCTTCATTAATAATTAGATAAGCTTTGTAGTTAGCTAGATCCTATTTTATAGGATCTCCACAAGAAGGTTGTTACTTGTACATTGTATATATATTCTGGCCGGATGGCTCAATGAAAATAAGGAAATTTTATAGCCCGTTTGGTAGCACGGAAATCGGCTGATTTGGCTAATTCTGCTGAAATTTATGAAGTTCTGGCTGAAGTGGCTGCATTGGCTGATTCTGCTGATTTAAGAAAAAATTATTTTTAAAATATATTTTATTAATAAAATAAAGAAAAAATTATATGTAAAAATAGCTAAACTGGTCATCTAGAGTAACTTCAGTCAGAAAAGTAACTCCAACCTTACTTTTTCTGCTTATTACACAATTCAGTGCGCGAAAGCAAAAATTACGTATTTGGTGAAAAAGTTGACTGATATGTCTGATAAGCCGAAAAACCGTGGTTCCAAACGGCCATGGTTTGAGAAGAAAATTGTATGCTTTAAATATCAACTTTTACTAGAAATAAATCAAAACCTGTTGTTGACGCCACCTAAACCGAAGTTTAGCTGCCTCAGCAAGAATCTTTAGCTCTACCTCCTCTTCCAAGTTCAAATGAAGAAGTTCAGATGCACTTTCATATGTCAGCATATACGTTGGTTTAATGATAGAGTTTTCCACGGAGTATTCTGAAATGCTAATAAATTCACAAGGAAACAATAAGATTAGGAGGAAAACACATTTATCATTTTTGCATCTTCATAAAGCAACTGTGCTGTGCTGATTATCTGCTTAAAATCCATTTATTAGGAAGATGAATCACGTTAAGATTTATTTGAAGGAGATCAAGAAATTAGCCCAAATGCAATCAAGACATCAGTATGACCACATTGGGCTCATGACTGAAAATAACAACATCCAAGCCTTAATCCCAAAAGATTTTGGGTTCGGCTGCAGCGTGAAGACATACATTAAAAAATTAGTAGTACTAGTCACGAGACCCACGACCAAAAAATTAGTGAAGTTAGAATGTTCCTGCAAAAAAGGGAAGGAATCAAGAAAATGGGAATAATTTTTGTGTACTGGGTTTAGGGATTGAGGCCCTATAAATGCTCTTTATATATGTGTTAATTTAGGAAACAGTCTTTCTAATATCATGCTACACTATCTAAATATTTTTTTTTAAAGGAATGGATTTAATTAGCATTAATCAAATCGTTCGCTAACGCAGATACAATGAAAGAAGGAGGAGAATGAAACCAATATTGCGAATCAGGTAGAGAACAAGCCGCCCTAGCTGACAAATGAGCAGGCTTGTTCGCTCATCGCTTCACATGACTAAAAGAAATGCACGGAAAGAACTTCGTCAAATCGTTAATGTCTTCTCTCAACAAACCCACCGTTGAACTGCTCGATCCATTTAATATTTCTGATATCGCTCCCGCCGAATCTGATTCAACCACTACCGAAGTACCCCCGAAATCTTTTAGCCAACTCAAAGCTTCTCGAATACCAGCCAACTCTGCCACCAAAACCGTCAAAATCCCCGGCCACTTGTTGCGCCTGTAATAAAGTCACCATCATGATCTCGTAGACACCACCCGAAGCCGCCCATGTCCGTCCTGACAGCCGCATCAACACTATCTAAATATTTATTCTATGTGATTTATCATATATCTACGACCATAATCACCATATATTTCCCAGACTACCTCAAGTTGGAGCATGAATAATCAACCCCTATCTCATTTAATGCATTTGCTAATAGATCACCTAGCTGTTCACATTTCATCATATATCCAATATAAATCAGATATTCCTATATTTTCTTTCAAATAAAATAATCATCTATATGTTTTAGTCTCACTTTAAAAATTGGACTGGATGTAATGTGTATAACAGCCTCTCATTATCACACCACTACATAGCAGGAGCGACTTTGAATCAGATTTCATCCAATAGTTGGTTTATCTATTTTTAACGCACGTGCTAACAGTGTCATAATCTAATATTTTGAGTCGACACTTTAACTAGAAATTACATTATGTTCATAGATCAAGATCTTTTATACTGAAAGTTTCTGACTCGGTCCGAAATAATCTTGTCTAAACAGGTCAATTTGTGTCTGGTCTGGCATGGATTGTTTACAAATCTAGGCTGGTCTGGTCAGATACTTGTTCATAATACTGTACTATATTCACCATATTATAGCTAGTGGTATTTACTCAAGTCTTGCTACCTACGACCCCCTAACATTGGTACAATAGGATGTGGTGGGGTTACCAAGAAAAGTGTGTTTATGTGGTGGGTATTGAATTGATAATGTGAGAACAAAGTAAGAACGATTTATAACCACACGAACATTACCAAATTTGGTATGAGACAATTTAGCGGGACAGAGGGAGTACTATATTGAACCTTAATTCAAAAAAGTGATTAAATTCAGATATGGACAAAAATATGACTCAAAAGATAATAAAATTTGAAAACTCTGCATGTCATTACAGTTAATTATGTTACCGACTCAGCAGTAATGGTTATGTCTTTACAGCAGTGACCGGTATCATTCACTTCGATCATGTCCTATGGCCATCACCAGCGAATTACGATGATTGTTTGGGTGACAAACTTTCCGATGTGCATTTTGGAAAGCATTCCGGTAGTGAGGGCTGGACTGCCGGTGTATGAAAACGGTTTGCGGGAACTTTTCCAGCGAGTGTTTAAAACGTTCCTCGAAAAATCCAGCGGATTTAGTGGCTGGGGCAACTAGAAGGGGAGCAATTGCACAGAAGTTTGAAGGAGAAAACTTAAGCCCATTGAAACCTTTGAAAGCGATTGCTTAGAAGATCTTGAATAACTCTAATCCTTGATACACAATTTCAAATAGATCTCAAATCAGTTTGTACTCGTTCTTTGGAACCCTAGGACCAACTCTCACGCATTAGTGAATAGCAATATATTTTGCTACAGGATTTATTATAATGGCTAGTACACTAAGGATGTTTTTACTTGGACTGTGTGAAAACCCTAGTAGTATTGGGCTTAGCCCATTTGTATATCTTGTATAGGAAACCCTAGTACTCTAAATATAGCTATAAATATAGCTTCTTGTATAGCACTTTATCATCAAGTATATAAAATACAACAATACTTGTTCACATGGTATCAGAGCAAATATAGTTAGCTAGTTAGCGTTATAAACTGTCGCTCCGAATCTGGACAGAAGTTCAGGCCATAATTTCCGGCGTGAATAGTGGTCGCAACTCACTTGAGTGCTTTTCGTAGTGATACAAGCCTACCATCGTGCTCAACTCTACATAGCAACTTACCACCGGAAGTTTCGCCGCTGCTGCCTCACCCACGCGCCGCCATCCACCGCTGAAAGTCCGCACCTGCAGGTACACATCTTTGCAGATCTGCTCCATCTTACTCATCTGCGAGCGACACCGACAGGTTTTTCAGAAACCTAGGTCCCTGACGACCTAGACCAGTCAGTCTAGTCCGCCGCCGCTTCCTCACGCGCTGCCGCCGCTTCCACACGCGCCGCCGCCGGTCGTACTCGCCGCCAGAAATGAGCTGCCGGTCCAGACTCGCCACTACCATCGCTGCCTTCCACGTGAGCAGACTTGCTCCGCTGCTTGTTCAGCTGCTTAGGTCACGGTAGTGTTGCTTCCATATCTTTGTGTTGTTTTAATTTTAAGCTTACTGTTCTGCTGCTGTCCATACGTTTGTGAGCAGATTAGTCACCTTACTCATCTGCCCTGATATTTTATTTGTAAAAATAGAAAAAAAATGTCTTTTGGTTTTTCTTCATTTGCTTCGGTTCCTATTATTACAACGGACCGTTTGGTTGGAAGTGCTAATTATCAATCATGGGCCATTTCTGTGGAGATGTGGTTCAAATGTCAAGGACAAATTGATCACTTGCTTACGGATAAGAAAACGGAATGGGCAATGTTTTGTGGCAATCCATGGACTCCAAACTTCATCTTACATATCAATCATATCGGACGTGTAAACAGATTTGGGAGAAAGCCAAGTCTAATTACACTAATGATGTTCAAAGTCTGTTTTCTTTTGGATCCAAAATTGCCATGCTCAAGCAACAAGAATTGGACATCCAGGATTTTCTAGGCCGGGCTGAGGCTTTACTCTTTGAGGCTTTACTCTTTGAGTATAATACCATTCAACCTATCACAGAAGATAGAGAGAAACAACTAGAACAACAACAACTTGTTATGGTTTTAGCTTTGGCGGGTCTTCACCCAGAGCTGTTATCTATACGTGAACAAATTATCTCTAGTTCTACTGTTCCAACTATGACAGACGCTTTTTCTCGAATTCTTCGTGCGGCCCCAATATCTGCTGAATTGGGTTCTACTGATTCTACCATTCTTGCATCACAAGGTGTGGGGCTCGACGGAGGAAACAACAAAGGATATCTGCGTCGAAGCCGACCTAAGTGTGACTGCTGTCATAAGATTGGTCATACTAAAGATAGGTGTTGGAAGTTACACGAGAGACCTCCTAGCTCCACTGTTTCTCATATTTCGCCATCTCCGGTTGTTCTACCTCCAGACGAATATGCCGCATATCAGAAATTTAAGTCTGCTAATGTGCCTTCATTTGCACCTGGTACGTCTACCGTTTGTGTTTCAAACACCACAGGCTCATGGATCATTGACTCAGGTGCTTCAGACCATATTTCTGGTAATCCCCATCTTTTATCCCATATTACCAAGCACCAACACCTTCCTTTAATTACTTTGGTTAATAGCCATCAAACTTCGGCCACGGGTATTGGGCAAGCACTGCCACTTTCATCCTTACCATTACATTCAGTCTTATATGTTCCTAATAGCCCCTTTAACCTTGTCTCTGTTAGTAAAATTACGCGTGCTCTTGATTGTTCTATAACCTTTTTTGTTGATTCTGTAACTGTGCAGGACCGTCGTTCAGGGAAGACGATTTGCGTCGGGCATGAATCTCAAGGCTGGTATCATCTTCATCCTGTTGATCCAATCGTTTGTGTCTCCGTTGAACCTGCATTAACGTTATATAACCGTTTGGGTCATCGTAGACTCTCAAAGTTTCGACGCATGGTTCCAGATTTCTCAAGTCTTTCATCTTTAGATTTTGAGTCATGTCACCTTGGAAAGCAACCTCGTAAATCCTTTCCAAGGCGTGTTAATAAACGGGCTGCGTCCCCTTTTGATTTAGTTCATACAGATGTATGGGGTCCGTATCGAGTCACTTCTACTTTAGGATTTCGCTATTTTGTTATTTTTGTGGACGACTTTTCCCGTTACACATGGTTGTTTTTAATGAAAGAACGTTTTGAATTATTCCATATTTTTCAGACTTTTTGTGCCGAAATCCACTCAGTTTGGTCATTGTATCAAAGTTTTACGCAATGATAATGCTAAAGAATTTTTTGCGGCACCCTTTAATGAATTCATGACATCACGGGGTATGCTTCACCAGTCTTCTTGTGTACACACGCCTCAACAAAATGGGGTAGCTGAATGCAAGAACAGGCACTTAGTTGATACTGCCCGTACTCTGTTATTACATTCACATACACCACCTCAATATTGAGCGATGTACTCACTACGTGTTATTTTATAAATAGAATGCATTCCTCGGTTATTCATAATGAAATTCCTTATTCTGTCTTGTTTTCTAGTCGTGAGTTAT